CTGAGTGGAAGTGGGGGGGGGGGTGTTCAGATGACGTGACGTCACACTTTTGCATTATAAGAAAGCAATGTTAGAAAACGAATTTTAGCCGTTATTTCGCGTTTTGAAAAACGGTTCTAATAAATTGTAATAGGAATTGATTAAAATCAGGGGCGGAACTACAGTGCCGCCAGACCCCGCAATGCGGGGGGGCCCAGGCCGATTGGGGGCCCAAAAATCCTGGCTAAATTATACATTTTTTTTTTTAAATTTAAATAAAAAAAATTAGGTGGATGTCGAGTTATCTTTCTTCTACAGTTACAAACAAACACGATAGTCGGCAAACGTCTTTGAGAAAAATGCACAGACTATAGCTCGAGAGACCGCCAGACATATAGACAACTTCAAAGACGCAACCTACCGTTCTTTTTTAGTGGCGTCGATTAGGAGAACAAAAAAGCTTTGAAAATCGAGCTGGGGAAATGTTGCGGCGACTATCCTGGTCTTTTAGACGACCGGAAAAAGTCGGCGCTATTGATGTAGATGTTCATCGGCGCTTTCTTGTCCCCTTCCCTTGAACCTTCCAAACTCTCTACCCTCCCTCCCCCCCCCCCCCCATCCCCCTAACCTCTACCCCTCACCACACCCTTACTTTTACAATAAGATGTAATGCATAGATTAACGAACCGTTTATGAACTACTGAACTGTAAACTGACCACTTCTGCACATTTTGTTAAAGACCCTAGTCGGTAGTTGTTCATTTACCTTATGAAGTATTTCGTTGACGAATCTAATTCACACAACAAGGAAGGTAAGACTCGTCATTATATTATTAATCGTTTTATAATTAGTACACATATTATGATATTAATGGCACATTAGTTATTAACACTAAATACATTAAAGTTAAAAAATTTTAGGATACAATGATCTAGCTTTTAAGCCTAAAAATAACCAAAAGATCTATACAGGGGTGGAACTACAGTGCCGCCAGACCCCGCAATGCGGGTGGGGGCGGGTGGGGCCCACTGCTGACCATAATTAGTATTTTTTTAAAAATTTAATTTAATTTTCGTGCATTTTTGCCTTGATATTTAGTTTGTAAAAGAAAAACACTGTAGCTGCGGTACGATTATCTTTATTTTACAGTCACTATACCACGCTCTTCAGCAAAAAAATAAAATCCATTACACAAAATACAGTGTAAAATATAGGCAACGCTTCAAATTTGAATGACACATTTGACTCTTTTCCCCCCTTTGATAGCTAAATAGAGGACACGTAACTGTTTGACCGATCCTCCAAAGTGTACTGTGGCGGATGGGGCAGGGGATGGGGATCAAATTTCTTTTTATTTATAGTTGTATTTTTTAAGGCCATCAAGGCCGAGTTCTATTTCCCCACAATCAAACACACGCTGTCGCCGGCAAAATTCTTTTAAAAAAAACAACAAAGACCATAGCACGAGAAGCCGCTACATATGAAGTGGCTTTCATGATGCGCGGTTCTACTTTGCGGCATAAGTTAGGGACCCGCCGAAATCCATTGTACATTTTTCAATGTTAATATGTGTTTGTGATAGTGGTTGAATTTGTATTCTGTACTATCTTGAATCCTACAAATAATAAAAAAGAATATAATACTAGAAACTTCGTTTTTATATACGTTTACTTGTTTTTTACTTTTACAAGAAATATCATAGTAAACTTTTAAGGCCTATACTTGGAATTATCTCCCCTGAGTAAGTTTTTTAATGGGCGGTGGTACATAGGCGCTTTGTTCTTTCAAGATTTTCCCGAGCCGACCCCCCATCCCATCCCTCTTTTTTAGCCTCGCAAGTATCGAGTAGATCAATGTATCGTTTATGAACTACTTCCTAACCGTACGATTCACCACTTTAGCACATTTTGTCTGACATTAGACAGCACTAGTCAACATATATTGATTTATTTGCATAGTATTAGTATTAGGCACATCTAATTCACAAAACAAGGAAGGTAAGATTTTTTTTTATATAATTATTTAGAAATTAATTAGAACGTTTAAAATTAATTGAACATTATTATATAATTAATAGTCAATTACTATTTATAAATGCCGTTATTGAGGTGGGGGTGTGTGAGGGTCAGGCTTTTTGTTAGTCGTTAAAAAATGTGACGTCATTTGTGGATTCCCCCCCCCCCCTAAATCAGAAGGTTATCCGACGCGTGAGCTGGCCACATACAGTTGTGCATGTGAAAAACATTTTTCTGTCTATTTTGCATTACTGCATATTTACCTAATCGCCATGAAAACTTTGGAAGCTGTTGAGGACAGCCCAGGGGAGGAAATACAGTGCCGCCAGACCCCGCAATGCCTGGGGGGGGGGGGAGGGGGGGAACAAGCCGTTTAGGGGGCCCACAGCCGCCTATAAAAAAATTTTTATAGTTAAGATTATTTTTCTTGCATTTTTGACCTGATGGTTGTTTTGAAAAAGAATACCGTAGCTGTGGTTGGAGTATCTTTATTCTATAGACACCATCCCACGCACTTGTATATTCTTTTTCCAACAAACACACGCTGTTGTCGGCAAAATTCTTTTGAAAAAAACATCAATTGCGCGAGAGACCGCTAGATATTAAGACGGCATTTTGAGACCATCCCAAATTTGGTACTGATGGATAAAATCACATTGGTGCTTTGTTGTCCCTTTTAAGTTCCTTTCTCAGACCTCCCCTCCCGCTCTTAGCCTTACAAGAAGCGAATAGATAGCGCTCCAACAACAACGCTGGCTCGAACCGGTGGTAGTTTTGATAAACTAGCGCTCCAACAACTAATATCCAAGAAATAAAGTGCCTACATTGTTTACGTTTAATAACCACTGTTCTAGAGAACAAGGCAGACGTCTCAAATGAATACACGAATGATAGCGTGTTATATATATATATATATATATATATATATATATATATATATATATATATATATATATATATATATATATAGTTTCGTCACTGGCAACTTGATAGTGGTTTTGTAAGTAACAAACAGATAACAGATCTAATACAGTAGTTATGTTATATAGTAGCTAAGACATGATGTTGCGTAAAAAAAATTAAAAAAAAATGAACACAGCTGTAGTGTGAAAGATAGGCAAACGTTCAAACCACTTGCATAAATTATTTCCCTTTTTCAAATAGTCAAATAGGGGTGCTCAAAAACTCTTTTTAATAATCAAATTAAAAAGCAATTACTTATATTAATTATTATTTTAAAAAAAATAAGTACTAAAGAATGATATAGTAGAAAAATGAAACGTAGTTAAAGTTAATAATATAAATACAAAAAAACATAAAAATAAACATAACACGAGACACCATTACTTATACAAAGCTTCATACACTTTTGACCGACTTAATGATTAGAAGTATTTTGTATACATGAAAACAGAGATTTTTTCAAAACAGACCAATGCACTCATACATATGACATGCTGTTGTGATTAGATTTAATTGAATTTTTTTTTCAAAACTCGATCAGGCCAGAAACGAGTATCCTATATTCGTATTTTGTTTGAGTGTGTGTGTATATATATATATATATATATATATATATATATATATATATATATATATATATATATATATATATATATATATATATATATATATATATAGGGGGGCCCAAAAAAAATTTTTGCGGGGTGGCCCATTTTTTCTAGTTCCGCCACTGATTAAAATACTCTATGTTATCAAGTTGTCAGAGTTCAGACAAGATTTTGGACAAAAATATCGTATTTTAAGAAAAATTCAACAGTGGGGGTGGTTGTAGGCTGAGGTGTGACGTCATTTGGGGGGGGGGGGGGGGAGTCGGGCTTTTTTTGACGATGTGTGACGGAGGGGAGGGAGGAGGTAAAAACCGTAAAAAAAAGCGTGACATCATTTATGGATGACCCCCTAATACTAATTGTCGAAAAACGTTGATTCTAATCTATTGGATATTTCGGATAATTATTAAAAGTCGACATTTTTTCACAAACATTTCTAAATACAATAATATCCACCTGGAGAAAGATAGATAGAAAAGTCCTAGATCTAATCTAGGTCTAGATATCTAGATCTAGTCCTACAAATATAAGGATCTAGTAATATAAGCGGCCAAGCAGAGTTTCTTCCAGGCATCTCTTCGTGGGGGGGGGGGGGGCGAAAAAAATTCTACCGCATCCCCGTTCCCCCCCCCCCCCCCCCCCGGAGAAAAAAATCTGGAAGAAACACTGCGGCCAAGTATTAGTAAAATTTGATAATTTTATTTATTGTTTTGTTTCAGAGTAAATTCGATGAGACTTTTTTTCTTCACAGTTTTTTTCTTTATCGTTATATTTCTGTTTTTTAAAAAATCAAGATATTGTGCAGGACCGCTACTTTCGCTTTCAGTTGTTTCAGTAATCGGCACATTTTTACTTGATTTTTAGATTTAGATTTTAGATCTTCCTATTATCTATGCTTTAGATATAGAGATTCTGTATTTAAAACCTACATTTTTCATATAACGCTAAGCATAACTTTAGATCTTCAAGTGTAAGCCGCGGGCCTAAGGCCTAAGCTAAGGCTGAAAAATAAAAAAGCTTTTTTTTTTACAATTTTTATTTTTTTAGATTTAGCCAGCACTCAGAGTCGTTTTAGCGTGACCGGGGTATCGGGTATAGTCTTTACTACACTAGTTACTAATCAGTAATATAGATCTAGATAGGAGGTTTGGAGGTTTTATTTTTACTGCATAACGGCCAACTAGACGTCCAGACTTTTCTTTCAACTTTCACTCTTTAGGGCTTAGGCCTACTCTTTTACAGTTTTACTACTAGATCTAGATCTAGTACTAGTGTCACTAGATCTTGAATCTAGATCTACTCACTCACAAGACTTAGAAATAGACTGCTAGGCTATACGGCAAGGCATTAGACTAATCTAATTACTCTACTGTAACCCTGCCTTCTTAATCTTATTATCTATGAATTATGGCATAACATCTTTTGTATTTTCAGAAATGTTTCAGAATAGCCTGGGTAAAGTAGCTCTGGCATTAGCAATGCCCACAAGTATACTTTTGATATACTGGATATACAAGAATCGTGCTACAGGTAAAATAATCCCATTCTCTTCATTGGTCAACGATTGACACTTGTTTTAAACTAAACTTCTACTGTTTATTTTAATATCAATCTAAATGCAGAAATGGGTGGTCAGAAGTAATTACAATATCATAAAAAGTCGTGTATTCACAGATGATGAAGTGTACAGCCAACACAGGGTTGTTACAGCAAGAAATACTGTGATAGAGGTCCTTGTACCACAGAAAGCTGTTGGCGCTGTGATTGGGCGTCAAGGCTCTGTCATAAAGCAGGTAACTACCATAAAGTAAAGCAGGATATTACCATAAAGCAGGTAACTGTACCATAAAGCAGGAAATTACCATAAAATAGGCAACTGTACCGTAAAGTAAGCAGGTAATTATATCATGAAGCCTGTAACTGTGCCGTCTATAGCAGTACCGTAAAATAGGAAACTACTATAACGCAGGTAGCTGTACTATAAAAAAGGCGACTGTACAGTAAACGTTAAAGCAGGTAACTGTATGGACTCTTTTGTGATTGCCCCTTTATAACTCTGGTTTTTCAACCTGATGGCTATAAATTTTGAATAACTTAAAACATACCATTAAATTATGTTTCTAAAAAAAAGAATAAAAAGTAAAGTTCACCTTTCAACCTGATTGTCCCTCGAACGCATGAAGTAGAATTCATGTTTCTTGAAAACTGCATTTGAATCGATAGTGTGGTCATCAATTTGCACAAAGACCTTTACTTTCCCTAAAACAAGTCAGGGATCATTCAGAGCTGGGTGGGCACCCTAGTCTGAAATCCTAACCTGAGCAGTAGCGTAGCGAGGGGGAGCGACCTTAGGGGGCGCCAAAATGGGTTGGAAAAATAAATTGAAAGGTCTAGGGGGGTGCAAATCGAAAAGTTTGTCCCCGAGCGCCAGGAAGGGTCGCTACGTCTCTGAACCTGAGACTTTTGGTTAGGATTCGAGTGCTCTACCACTTAGTCAATGCTGTCACTCCTGAACTAGAATACAATTCAATTATAAGTGAATGGTCAAGAGAAATTTGAACTAACTTTAATTATGTTCATAGCTGACCCCTTATTATCAACATTTTTAGTCTAATATAAATTAAGTATTTAGCGAGTAAAAGATTTTTTAAAACATTGATGATAATAAAAAATGTTTTGATTCCTAACTTAATTAACTTTGTCTTAAGCACCAATCTAACTATTCAATTCTGATTATTTTTGTATATTAATTATTCAATTGATGTTAAACATACTAAGTTTTATCCAATATTTTATAAAATATAAACCAACAAATTATTTTTAAAAAGTTATATCATTTACAATACTGCGTTTTTTTTGTTATCTATATATGATTTTTCTGAATCTTCTTTGTTATTGATGGGTAAATTTGATCACCAGATTCAAAAAGAGTCAGGAGCTCGGCTGCATTTTAAAGACAAGGAAAATGAGAATGAGAAGAAAGAAAACCGCACTGTTGTGATAATTGGGAATACAGAGTCAGCCCAGCAAGCAGAGTTAATGATTCAGCAAGTGAGCACTTACATCTTGTTGTCTTTGTGTGTTTGTAAGTAAAAGCAAATTTCCCTTTTACGAACCTGACGTTCCATGGGGCTAATGAAGTAGAGTTTATGTGAGCTGAGCATATGAAGGGATAGTGTGGTCAGGACGCCAGTCTTTTTTCATTATTTGTGTATTTTTAGCCTCTGGTTGAGATAATTTATTGTCGACAATTGTTTGGAAGTTGTAAATAAAATGTGTCTTGTTAGTGACATGCTGAGATATATTTTAATTAAAATGGCACCACTTTTTAATATATTTTTTTATCACAACTAAAGTTTCTTCCTTTCTCTAATTTTTTTTTTTTACATTTTTAGTCATTAACTTATGAGGGTCTATTAATGAGTGCAGACTTTTATTTGTCATTTCTATTTAGAAATTTATTCATCAAAAATTAATTATAGGTAGTTAAATATTTATGTGTTTTTCGAGTTGTGGTAATAATTTTTTTTAATTGTTGTTAAACACACTCCAGAATAATTCTTTCTTTTTTAACAGAAATAAGTTAATTTTTTTTTAAACAGATAATATCAGGGATTCCAGAGATGTTGACAGAAGAAGTTGAAGTGCCTTCTTACAGTCTTGGCTGTCTAATTGGTATAGAATTTATTTGTTTCTTTTCTAAAGTTTAGTCAGATTTTTTTTTTAAAAGTTGTATTTTGTGGCATACAATTTTTGAAACTTAAGTTACAAGAAAGAAATTATGTATTTTAATACTGAGACCAAATTCGACAATCTTTAAGATGATTTATTTATTCAGTCAGGCAAAAACATTGTACACAATCAAATTTTTAAGTCCTACATTTTCTGTTCATCATCATCATTCCTTTGTAGACCCTGGGGAGCAAAGGACTGCAACTACACATTTCTGTTGTTTGATAGGTATGATAAGGTACAAACTGCTGCCAGCAACTGGCATTAACCTTGTGGCTTCTCCCTACAGGTAAAAATGGGGTTAACATCAGGGACATGACCAGGATCAGTGGCGCCAAGATACTCATTGAGAGAGCTGAGGATTTCAAGAGCCCAGACCAGCCCAGGGTCGTGGCCTTGACAGGGTCACGGGAGCAGATTGACATGGCTGTGGTAATTATCTCTCTTGTTTATTTTTTTAATTTAACTACACCTGGCAGAAGGAGGAGAGGCAGACCAAGAAAGACCTGGAGACGTGACCTGGAAGAAGACACCAAGAAGATTGGATACACCTGGGGACAGTTGGAGAGACTAGCCGAGGACAGAGACACCTGGAAAGCCCTTGTCAGCTGCCTTTGTCCTAGGGGGGGTGACAGGCAAACCTAACCTAACACTTTGTCAGATTGTCTAATTTTTGGAATCGTCGTGGCAGAATCAATAAAGCTCATGGTTGCTAAAACGAGTTTACAGTCTGAAGTTTGAAACCCCATACAGATGAGGTATGAAAGCTGCGGCATCAACTCACTTAGGAGAGAATTTTTAAAGTTAAACAACTGTTGCCTGGTGATTTGTTCTTGGTTGGACAAAGGCTATGGAAGCAAGCCAAAACCAAAAGCAGGCTTAAATGGGTGTCAATGAATATGGCACATAACTAACTGATATGTAATACTTAATTGTCTTGGATGAAATACCATCCAAAGTGGCTAATTTTTGTTATCGCAGTTTTTGTTATTAAATTTTATAAGCATTAAACAAATATGTAAGTAAATAGTTCTGAAGTACTTGACTATTTGCTGCTTTCTGCTGTGATAGTTCATATTAATGGGGATTAAAATGTACATAAAAACTTGCATCTCTAGGAACTTATTGAGGAAAAATTGCAAGAACTAGAAGAAATAAGAGCTCAAAAAAACAAGCCAGAAGGTACAAATGATCTGGCAAATAAAAACACAAGGGAGAGAACTAAGTTAAAATCAGGTGAGGTTATTTTTTTTTTTAAAATAAATTATTTTTTCTGACCTGGTTTTATAGTTTACATAAATATCAGACATCTGCTTATGAGGTCATACTGTGGTCAGCAGTCTTTTCTTTCCCTTGCATCAGAACTTCAAAAGTGGGTGGAGTCAACTTTACAGTTTGTACAATCACTGAACATTTCTAATAGCTTTGTTATGATTAGGAATCATGGGAAAATGTTGGTTTCATTTCCATTTGTGTGTTGATCATGATGGCATAAAAAACCAGTTTACCAAAGCACATCTAGTTTAGTATAAATTCACTTTAATTCTTGCCCCAGTAGTTAATTGTAAGAAAAATATGAATATTTTTGTAACATATTGTTATAATATTACTTGTTTTTAAACTGATTTTAATATAGAAGTTAAGAAAGTTCACACTTTAAGTTCCATCTGTGAATTAAAACAGTTCCAAATTTGGGAGGCAAATATGACTCCCATTATTTAAATTAATGCTTTTCTTCTACAATGAAAACCATTCTAGTACTATCAAAATTTTAGGCATTGCACAGTCCTCACAAAATTACATTTCTTAAAAATATGACGTATCTCATATATATTACAGAGTTGATGACAAATTGTAAATAAAATGTCAATATTTTTATACATTTTTTCCTAGTCCCTCAAGAGAAGGAGGAATGGGATACCTCTGTTGCTGCTTTACAAGACAGCACACACCCTGCTGAACCGGTAAATTTTTTTCTACATTTTTTTAAGCAAACAGAATAATTGTGAGCCTCCACCATTAAAATAAGCTGCTTTGTACTTTGAGCTGTTTTGCCCCAGAATTAAAAGTATGAACATACTAAGATATAAAGCATGGGTTTTATTTTTTCTATGTATTTATATATAGACACATTATTGGTAAAAGTTAAAAAAATGTTTGGCTTTGAGTATTAAAATAGACTTTCAGTATTAAAATAGACTTTAAGTAACAAAAATGTAAGGATAAAAAAAGATGGAGTTTGAAAATGAATTTGAAATGTCTGAGAATCCCTTTAATATAGAGGTAACATTAACACTATAGTTGATCACGGATTAGTAATTCTATTCTTAAACCGTTTTCACCATTAAAAATAACAATTAATATTTGCTGAAACCCTAATTCAGCTTCAAACCATTGCAAAGCAATGAATAAAATTTATGTAAAGACATTCAGCACCAATATATTTTTATTTTGGTTGTACAATTTTATAATAGTTGATTCACAAAAACAATATTTCTAATACTGTTTTCTATAATAAAAAAAATCTGTCGACCCTTTACATAATTCTAAAGAAAGCATCTCGTGTCAAAACACAACCCCATCTATTGGCTTAGGCTTGTTAAACTCTCAGATTTGTGTGAGTGGGGGACCCCAGTATCTGTAGAGGATACAAGGTAGTGGAGTTCACCCTGGCATCTTTTAAGCCATTTGCTGGATTTCACCTCTACTGGTCTATAAGTTCTGGGTACTCAAGATGATGCTGGGCCTAACTGTTAAAAAATCTGTTGGGACGAATTTCTCATTGTTTTCTTGTCGTAGTCAAAAGTGTAGTTTATGTAATAAATCTATAACATTTGATGTTGAAATTATTATTTCCCATTGTAGGATCTACCTCTGACCATATGTGTGTCAGCTGTTGAACACCCGGGTCATTTCTGGGTCCAGGTTGTGGGTCCCAAAGCTCTTCAACTGGAGAAGTTGCAGAAGGAAATCACAGCCTTTGTCCACACTAATGAGGCTAAACTGGTGAGTAATGTCCACACTAACGAGGCTAAACTGGTGAGGTATATCCACACTAATGAGGCTAAACTGGTGAGTAATGTCCACACTAATGAGGCTAAACTGGTGAGTAATGTCCACACTAATGAGGCTAAACTGGTGAGTAATGTCCACACTAATGAGGCTAAACTGGTGAGTAATGTCCACACTAATGAGGCTAAACTGGTGAGTTATGTCCACACTAATGAGGCTAAACTGGTGAGTAATGTCACACTAATGAGGCTAAACTGGTGAATTATGTCCACACTAATGAGGCTAAACTGGTGAGTAATGTCCACACTAATGAGGCTAAACTGGTGAGTTATGTCCACACTAATGAGGCTAAACTGGTGAGTAATGTCCACACTAATCAGGCTAATTTGGTGAGTAATGTCCACACTAATCAGGCTAAACTGGTGAGTAATTTCCACACTAATTAAGCTAAGATTAAGGATAAAGTCCACACTAATGAGCCTAAGCTAATGAGTAATGTCCACACTAATTAGGCTTATGTTCACACTAATTAGGCTAATGTCCACATTAATTAGGCTAATGTTCACACTAATTAGGCTAATGTTCACACTAATTAGGCTAATGTTCACACTAATTAGGCTAATGTTCACACTAATTAGGCTAATGTTCACACTAATTAGGCTAATGTTCACACTAATTAGGCTAAGCTTGTGAGTAATGGGGAGGGGTTTGGAAAGTGACATAAGGTAATAAGTAATGTTTTCTTTAAAAGTCTATTCCATCTTTATCAGGGATTATAGGTTAATCTCTGCAAAATAATTTTTGTCAGCAATGCTCTTGTAATTTTGTACTAATGGGTGACTACTTGCTAAAGTTGCATGGTATCATTTATAAATGATCCCCTTTGTTAAAAGTATTAATTTTAAAAAATGCATTGTGGATCCCCAATCTATATTTAGTTTTGTCCCATTCTGTGCAGAACTACAGCATGAAGGAAGTAATCCCCGGTGAGCTGGTGGCTTCCCAGTTTGAAGATGATTCAGACCAGACTTACTACAGGGCCAAAGTTTTAGGTGAAACTGAGGACGGGAAGCTAGACCTCTACTTCATAGATTTTGGAGATAACGCATTTGTTGACAAAAAAGATGTGTATAAATTAAGGTGATTTTGAATTATTTTTTGTGTACTCAGTTGAGCACAATTTTTGATAATGTGTTAACAGTTAGGAATTTAGCTTTTTTTTCCTTTTTTTCCATTTAAATATACGTATTGGTGGGGCTAAAACATAGTCCACCTCATTAAACATGTAAATAGAAATCTGAAAAATGTGTAGGTATTCTACTAATTTACGATTAATATGTGATTTTGTTTTTGGAAATAAGAAGACAGATATTGGGGGAAATTGATTATAGTGTATTTTTTTGTTGAATTAAAGTTTAATAGAATTAGTTGACTAATATGTGATAGTGAATTACCTTTATTATTCAAAAAGATTTGATTTTCTAACATACTATTGTCATTATTTTGTTGACACTAGTTTAGTTTAAATAAATATTTTGCCTGACTAGCATGTGATAGGATTAATTTTATTTTTCAACCAGATCTGATTTTCAAACATTCCCACCTCAAGCTATTGAATGTCAACTGGCAAATGTGGAACCTGTAGGTAAGTAAGCATTTCTGTCCTTCATTGTTTGCTATTTGGGTTGTAAGAGTGATACCAACAAAAGAAACTTCAGTAAGAGGCTATAATACTGTGCCTGTGGAATTAATCAAACTAGATCTGGTATTATTTGCCATTAGGATTGAAACACTTATACAAACAAAAGAAACTTGAGTAAGAGGCTATAATACTGTGCCTGTGGAATTAATCAAACTAGATCTGGTATTATTTGCCATTAGAATTGTAACACTTATACAAACAAAAGAAACTTGAGTAAGAGGCTATAATACTGTGCCTGTGGAATTAATCAAACTAGATCTGGTATTATTTGCCATTAGGATTGAAACACTTATACAAACAAAAGAAACTTGAGTAAGAGGCTATAATACTGTGCCTGTGGAATTAATCAAACTAGATCTGGTATTATTTGCCATTAGGATTGAAACACTTATACAAACAAAAGAAACTTGAGTAAGAGGCTATAATACTGTGCCTGTGGAATTAATCAAACTAGATCTGGTATTATTTGCCATTAGGATTGAAACACTTATACAAACAAAAGAAACTTGAGTAAGAGGCTATAATACTGTGCCTGTGGAATTAATCAAACTAGATCTGGTATTATTTGCCATTAGGATTGAAACACTTATACAAACAAAAGAAACTTGAGTAAGAGGCTATAATACTGTGCCTGTGGAATTAATCAAACTAGATCTGGTATTATTTGCCATTAGGATTGAAACACTTATACAAACAAAAGAAACTTGAGTAAGAGGCTATAATACTGTGCCTGTGGAATTAATCAAACTAGATCTGGTATTATTTGCCATTAGGATTGAAACACTTACACCTACAAAAGAAACCTCAATAAGAGGCTATATTACTGTGCCTGTTAGGTTTATTTTAATTAGATCTAGAATTGTTTGCCATTAGGATTTTAACATTGATGATAATAAAAGAAATGTTTTTATTTCTAACTTGTAATTAATCTAACCATCCAATTCTGATTATTTTTGTATATTAATTATTCGATTGATGTTAAATATACTAAGTTTGAGTACAAAATTTAAAAGGAAACTTCAGTAAAAGGCTATATTGCTGTGCCTATTTTTATTAGATTTAGCATGTATTTATTGATATGAGATAAAACATTTTACCATTAAAAGACTTTTTCTAATAACCTTTTTATTTTAAATTCTGTCATTTTTATTTTTTATTAGTTTTATTTTTTACCTATTTCAGTTTACTTATGATAATTTGATTTCTACCGATTTTAGGGCACTAATTTTCTTTTTTTTCCTATTTCATGCTACTTATAAAACATTCTTCATTTTACTTATATCAGGTTTCTAATTTTCTTATTTTCCTATTTTCCTATTCATGCTACGTATGATAAAGTCATTTTCCCTGTTTCAAGTTACATATGATAATGTTTATTTTTTTTATCTCTACATGTGGCAGGGGGAAGCTGGTCAGATGAGGCTATAGTTTACTTTGAAGAAATCTCACACTGTGCTGAATGGAAGGTCTTGTCTGCCAGGGTGGTCAATTACAAAAATGATGAGAAAGGTCAACAGAGGCCATTGCTCCAGTTATTTGATTTAAACCAAAGGGAGGTAATGGAGGTCATATCAAATTAATTATCTGATAAATATAGTGTAAAAGGTAGATCATCCAGTGATGCACAAACAAGTGTACATGATACAGTAAGCATAGGTACTTATGAGAGCAGGGTGAATTTGGTGGCATTTCCAGTTCAACCCTGTAATAAAAATATAATATTGAAGCTGTTCCCAGTGGTCGAGTTGGTAAAGCTCATGGCTAAACAGAAAAGTCTTGAGTTCGAACCCTCGGGCAGATGAGGCTTGTTAGCTGGTGACAGTCACTCTTCTAGGAGAGACAACTCCAAAATCAAACAACTGCTGCCTTGTAGTTTGTTCTTGGTTAGATAAAGGCTGTGGAAGCAATTCAAGAAAGAAAAGCAGGCTGAAATCAGAGTCAATGGCCTCAATGGCGCATAACCAGTTGACTCGTATCCTTAATTGTGATGGAGGGGATCCCTTCCAACACTAAAATTAAGAAGAAGAAGAAAGAAGAAGCTGTTCCCTACTTTCTAATTTTATGTCAATAATCAATCGTTTTGTAAATGATTTGAAGTCTAAATAAGTATTACAGTTCTAAATTTTTTTCTTTTTCCTCTCATGGTACAGAAAATAGACATAGCAGCTGAGCTCATCAAACGAGGTTATGCCGTGGAGGTTGATTCTACCCATCAAGCTACCAAAGGCATCTGATTATCACATCATATAGACCCATCTGGTAGTAAACCATGTTCTTATCTACTCTACACTCAAGGAAGCTGAGAAAATTTAAGCATTTATGATTTCTTCGGTTCTTTATTTTTAATTTAAATAAGGAGGATAATCTGGTTAACTTGCAGTGACTTTGTTAATCCCCTACTTGATCTGTTCCTTTTGTAATGATTGAAAAGTAAATTTGATGTCTTCTGTATAGATTAAAATGGAATAATCCTTTATTTTTTCTTTGTTATGGTCTATGAAAGCTAATGTATTAATGAAGTCATTCAGGAATAGTCAAGAGGTATTTTTTAAAAATTAATGTGTATTTTGAGCTACGCTGTTTTTAAATTGTGATAGCAAGCAGGGTTTTAAAACTCTGCATTGATAAAATTGGCTCTTGACTAAGCCATGTGTAGAAACTGAATGTAAACCTCAGTGATCTAATGTTCAGAATTTAGCTGTTCCCACATTTAACAATAGGTTTTCTGAACGTCGTTAAATGACAATCACTGGATTTCCCCACTATCCACCTGCGTCATCTCAGAATTTCAATTGTAGTCTGACAGATTCCCACCTAAAAATGAAATCATAAAGATTATCTTCCTTTCCCACAACCCCATATTTTTATTAACCGATTCTAATAAAAATAATCATAATTGGTATCATTCATTTTTAATTATGGTAAATTTATGCTTCTTGACTTTTTTTGAACACACACAGTGTAGTCACCTGCTGCACTCAAGTCAGACTTTATGTAGGTGAAACTAAACCACATCTTTCAAAGTTTACTTGGTGAAATTTACCGGTGTCCTTGTGATAGGAA